CTCACTGCCAGGAGGTGTTCACTGCCGGGACTTGGAGCCTGGGGGCCCCTGTGTGACAGCAGAGGGGAACCGGGCCTCACCAACACCTGTTACACCTGCATGGATGACTCTGACTGCCGAGTGCTACTAAGAACAGAAAAGCAGCCCTCTGGGGGTCAGCCCAGCTCAGGAAGCCCGCAGGCTTCAGAGTGACCTGCCTTGCCCATTGTATGGATAAGGCCAGAATCTCTGAGCCTGTCCCTAAAGGGGGCCATGGGGACCAGCCAAGGGGAGGTTTCCAGAAAAGCACCCACCCTGACCCCATTCCACAGCCCAGTTCCCTCCACTAAAGCTATCCATTCCCCAGTGCAAATCACACCCCCAGTTTCCATGTGTGCTTGTCTCCCTGGTCCCAGCATTGGCTTCTGGCTTCAAAGTCCCTTCTACGATATGGCTACCACCTAGCCACGTGTCCTTTCAAGAGATGTGGTCACACATGATTCTCAGCAGGCATGATCGGCACCTGCTCTGAGTGAAGGAAGGTAGACGGGGAGGAACTGGGGAAGCCGGGGTTCTGCCCCAGCAGTCAGGGCCCTAATGCAGCTGATGGGGAACTCCCTGGCTCCCAGGAGCCCACACGGGTACCAGGCAGGGGCCCAGAATGAAGACAGTCACAACCAAACACTAGACTCTGGAGTAGGGGGGAAGCCTGTGCTTGGCTCCTGACTCCCAAGCTGTACGGTCTGAGACAGTGACTTAACCTCTCTGAGGTCAATTTCCAGTAAATGAGAATGCAGACCTCCCTAACTGAAAGCGGTGCGTGGCCATCTTTATTCTGCTGTACCAAATTAAGAGGACTGGCCCAGAGCAGGTGCTCAGCAGAGAGCAGTGGAAACTCAATTAGGGGTCCGTGCTGCCACGGGCCTTCTCATTGTGTTCCACAGTTCAGCCAGGACAGGGAGCTCACAGAGGTTTGGCGACGTGCTCTAGGTCACGCGGGCTGCGTACAGCATTGGCTTTCTGGGTCACTAGCTCCTACACACGACCTCAAAGGTTAACCTGTCTGAGCAAAGCCCTCTGAAGGAGCCCTGAGAAAGACCTGAGAGTCACTCTCTCAGTGGGAGCAATGAGAGTTCACGAAAAGCTACGTCTCCTGTCTAGATGGAAGCATTTCCATAAAAACACCAACGCTGATGTCTGACCTGCCACCTGAGGGCTATGTTGAACCCCCACCGCCCTCCCCACACCCCCGTTTCTAGCAGTTGCAAGCAGTACTGGGAGGAAGCTGATGGAAAGCTGCCCTCCACGGGCCTTAGAATAAGCACCATCCATGGCTGTCTTGTAAATGAGAGCCTGCTTAGACTCTGACATCTCAAGCTCTGCCTCCCTGACGGGACCCTTTACACTTCTGAATCCGTCACCCTCCTCGTTCTCCCTTCCCAGCTTCACATCTGCTCACAAGAGAAGATGCTGGATAATTTTATTTCCCAGCCTCCCAGGACTCACTGGGGACAGGGGTCAGACTTCCCGCTGGGTGCTAAACCCCTGGCTGTTTTCTGCGGTCTCCCCAGCCAGCCCAAGGACAGAGAAGCAAGAGGCGTGGCCTGAAGAGTTCTGGCTTGATCCTCAGTCCCCACAGAGAGACCTCTGTGGGGGAGAAGGACATGCTTGGTTGCCCCTGTATCTCTTATCTCTGGGGGAGCTCCATCCGGGCACTGAATAAGACAGAACCCCATATGCTTCCTGACCATAACCACAGCCTCTAGGGGCACAAGGGAAGCAGGCTGCTCATCCTGTAGCTATGGCACCAGCCCTGCCCCCACCTTAAGCCGAGCTCTAGGACAAGCCCCAGTAGATGAGACAGCAATCAGGCACTAACCAGAAGCAGGCAGGGAGAGCCCCAGCCTGCCCGAATCTCTTTGTTTGTGCTCTGCTCATGCTGCAGAGCAGCCATGAAGCCCTTCCTCAGTACACCTGAAAAAGGTGTCCATGTAATGTTGCTGATGAGAAGCGTTCTTTATCCCCTGCTGGGTTCAGGCCCCAGCCAGCATCTGTTTCATCCCGTCCTGGCACCACATCCCCAAAACAACTCTTGTCATTCCCGCTTTTCAGAGAGGGAAACTGAAGTTCAGCCTGGCTAGATAGTACAGAAAAGAGCTGAGGTGAATCAGCCAGGACCCTCCCCCCGCCCCCAGCTCCTGAGGTGGCTGGGGCAAAAAGCCTGGCTCCTCTGGCTGCTCCCTCACCTAAACTGGACTCCCCCTAGCAACAGGAGCTGCTCCTTCATGAAGCTTTCCCTAACCTTAGGCTAGGTCAGCGCCCTGCAGACTGGCCCTAGTCACTTGTCAGGGCCTGTCCACAGCGGACTAGACGGGGGGGGGGGGGGGGGGGGGCACCTTTCAGCCCAGCCCACCCTGGCTCACTTTCAGGCCGTCAAGAAGGGGTTGGATGGCACTACTCTCAGCGCTGATGACCATCATGAATGAGGAACCAGGGACCAACACTCTTCTCCCAGGAACGCCCATCTTTCAGTCCTCACCCAGCAGGGCATGGTGCCAGTGACTGAGAAGGGCCAAGTATCCTGAAAAGGGAGCACCTTTGGGTAAGTCATGAGATTCTCGATTTGCCAATTAACTCACCCGAGCCTCAGGTTCCCCAGCTGTCCGTGGGGACCTGACAAGTCTCAGCCAACTCGTTTTTTTCATATGTATTCATCTCTCCCCCAACTCCTAGCCTCAGTTTCTCCATTAGTTAGCTGGGGACTTTGACAGACCTAGAGATGTCTTAAAAGCGAGACAGCCGATACGGGGGAACCCCCTCAGGGCCGTCCCAAGGCCAAAGAAGGGTCACTTCCTTCCGTGCCCGAGGTTCTCAGTCACCTCTGGGTACCCCCCCCCCAGCCCTGGTGCGGTGGCCCCAGGATTTCCTCCGCGGACCTGCGGCTCCCCGCATCCCAGGCCTCGCGGGCCCACAGCTGCACGTGCGGCGGCTCCGTCCTAGCTTCCTTGGGGAACCTTCCTTCCCCCAGAGTTTTGCAGGCTCCAGCGCCGCGCTAGCCCAGGCCAGGCTATTCCAGAGCAGAGGTGATGCTCTGTTCCCAGGTGGCAGGCCACGACGGGCGGCGTTAGGACCCGGAGGCTCCGAGCCCCCGGGGGGTGTGGCCGGACGGAGGGTGCTATTTAAAGGGCGGGCACCGCCCCCTCGCGGCCGAGCGGCGCTGCAGCGGCCGGGCCCGGCGGCGGGACCCCGCGGGCTGCCGAACGATGCGCGGACGAGCCGGGCGGCGGCGGCGCTGAGCCAGGTAGGGGTGGTGGGAGCGGCGAAGCGCGGGGAGCTGGGTTTGTGTCCCCCTCGGCACCCAGGCCTCAGTGGCTCTACCCCGGGAAGGGCTCGGATGGCCGTTCCCATTTGACAGCTGGGAAAGTCAAGGCCGGAAGCCCCCGGGACGTGCTTGGAAGCACACAGCCAAGCAAGCAGATCAGGATTTGAATTCAGGTCTACCCCAGGCAGACATGGGCTTTCCACACCACCGCCGTTGTCTCTGGAGGGCATGCCCAGCGTGCTTTGGGGAGCCTTGAAGCCGACCTTCTTTATGGGTGATAGGTGGGGGGACCCCGCCCCACCTCCACCCTGACATTTCGCACCATTGCCACATTCCTTCGGGTTAAGGTCTGATTTCCCCCGAAATGTGGGATGTCTCCAGAATGGGCTGCACCTAGTGATTCACTGCCCTGTGAGCCTTGAAGCTGTTCTCCCCCTTTGCCAGTGCGTCAGAGCAGACTGGGAGCTCCACTGCCCGCTCTACTCCTGGGCCTGGGCCCCTGGGTTCCTGGGCAACTTAGGAGGGACGTCTTGGCAGTTGCTTTGGAGACAGAGGGGCTGGATTCTGGTCTTGGCTCTTCTGTTTCCTGTACAAGTGACTTTGGGTAAGTCATTTCTCTGAACCTCGGGTTCTGGGAGGGAGTGCTACAGGGGTCCAGTGGGGTCCGCACTGCTGGAGATCACAGGGTCTGTAGATCTGGGTGAGCCCCTGTGCCAGCTTACCTAGGGGCTCCAGAGTGTAATGGTTTGTGGCCATCACAGTTCACCTTCCTGAGCCTCAGTCTTCTGGTCTGTAAATGGGGGTTACAGTAATCACCTCCGTCGGTGGGTGTGAGAATTAAGAGACCTGCCATCAGCCAAGTGCTTAGGAACATGTGTAGCCTCCTTGCATGGCAGGGGCAGTCTTACTAGGATTCGAGGATTGCCCTTTATCTCTGTCCATCTGTCCCCCCTCTCTGTCACACACACACACACACACACACACACACACACACACAAGCACATACACAGATACTCTTTGACACTTTCTCCAAGTCAGAATCCAGCCACTTGCCCGCAGACCCAGGGCCTCTGTCCCCAGCACACATCCCTCACCTGGGATGCTCAGCCCCCCTGTACTGGAACCAGCAGGGGAGAACTGTAGTGTCCCAGCGCTCTCCTGGCCACGCCCCACCCGATCCGCCCCACGGCTAAGGGTGGCCAGCGAAGTGGGAACTGGTGTGTGCTCCAGATGAATCACCTAGGCAGGAGAGGTGAAAGGACTTTCCGTGGGGAAGCAGACTACCGAGGTGGGGGGCTTGACAGGAGCCCGGGTTCAAATACCCTGACCCTCCCCGTGAGACTGAAGTCTTCAGACGCTGTGGATCGGGCACAGCACAGGGCTTCTTCTATCATAATTCTGTGGGTCAGCGGGGACTGTCCCTTCTGGCTGTACAGCAGCCCCACGCTGGAGTAGAACAGGATTAGACAGAGGAAGGAGAGCTAGTGTCCCTTTGGTGTCTCCGTCTTAACCTCAGGTCCCGGCCTGTCCTTACTACTCACCACGTGTTTCCTGAGAGAACTTCAGTAGCATCTACTTAAGAATTGAGACAAATGATAACTGGGTGAGGGGGGAAATGCAACACACAGGAGCCTGAGCAAGAATGTTCTCTGCCGAGGAGGGAACAGCAGCACAGAGCCCCAGGCAGGCAGAAAGGTCCTGGGCGTCACAGAGGAGCTTTCTGAGGGGAAGGAGGTGCTAGATGGAGCTGATGGGAGAGAGAGTGAAGCCTGGAGATTTCAAAGTGATTCATAGGATCTGACGTGTGGTTCTAAGGCTCATTGGCTGCCATGTATGGGACAGATTGTCCAGTACTGGAGGGGAGCAAGAACACAGAAAGTGGAGACGGCTGTTGCAGTTCAGGTGGGCGACTTTGAACCCGGTAGGATAGGGAAGGAGAGGGGCATGGAGACAGAGGGTGCCGGGTGCTCCCCTCACCTGCCCCACACTGGAGACTTTCATGCTGGTGTGCTGTCTGCCTGTGTCATGAGGTGGGACCCCAGAGGTACTTTCTTTCCAAGGGGTGGGGAGGCACAGCGGGGCCTCTGCTGTGCACCAGCCTGGACTGTGCAAAGCTTAGCAACTGTGAGAACAAGGCCAGCCATAGGGAACCCAAAGAGGCTTCAGGAGGTCATGGCGTCTAAGCTTCCCCGGATGGGAGGTATTCAGCCATAGGGTGGGCAAAGGAAGGGTGGGCTCGGACAGTGAACGGTACCCAGAGGTCCAAAGGAAATGCAGGTGTTCAGAACCCAGGGAGAGCGGGGATAATGAGAAGCAGGTGAGAGCCAAGAGCTGCCCTAGGGAGGGCGGGCTCCCGAGAGCCCTGGGGATGAAGGCCAGAGGTTTTCATGGAGCTTTGAGCATGCCAATGCTAAGCAGGTGGGAACTGTGTTTGAAACAAAAGATCAAAATTTCCCGTGAACTCACAGCCCGCAGTGAAGACAGAGTGCTGGGAGGCAGGGCTGGGCCGCGGGGGAGCCAGGAGGGAGAGTTGAAAGGGCCATGCTGGTCCCTGCGTGTCTCAGCAAGATGAGCAGCCACTGTGTTGAGATTCATCACCAGTGGGGTCCGACAGTCAAAAGAGCCAGCAAAGGCCTGCAGCTCTCTCCCAGGGCCGCCTTCAGAATGGCAGCTCTCATCCTTTTACCCACTGGGGGAGGCCTTCAGGTGTGGAGGTGAAGGGCGCAGAGCCTAAGCCTACCACTCAGCTGTGTTGTCCTAGGTGAATTGCGGAACCTCTCTGAGCCTGGGTTTTGTTTTGGTTTGTTGTTTGTTTTTATTTTCCTTCTATCTGATAAGTGTAAGAAGATGGAGCTGAGTCCTTGTGAGGATTAAATGAGTTGATAGTAACTGTCAGGTTTGATCTCGAGGCGTAAAACGCTGGGGCACTTTCATAGAATGTCTCATGTCTCCTCGACAAAACTCCACATGGTTGCCATTTACCTCTGGAAACAAGGTCGGAGAGATGAGGGACCTGTGTGAGGCCACACAGCAGGAGATGAGGGGGATCTGTCAGATGTATCAGCTCTGAGTGCTGTGGTCTTTCCGTGTAAGCATGCTCTGTCCAGCTTGTGATCTCTTTGGCCCACCGTCCCATCGCTGTTTCCCAGCTCAGAGCTAGATGTGAGATGGCGTTCAGTGTGGGAGTGAGTGGATTCAAATTCATCCCTTAATTAATTAAATTAACAGCCTGATCTGTGTCTCCTCGGCACGTGGCTCAAGTCCACAGGGATTCACCCCTGCTTAGGGGCCCTGGGATCTCCATGGGCCTCCGCCCTGGCAGCTTACACTGCAATGGGCCCATAGCCCAGGGCAGCCATAGCCCTCAGTGAAAGTAGAGAGCTGGCAGCCTGCTGGGGTGGGGCTTCCTGTTCGTGCCCCGGGGCAGCCCTGAACAATGGCAAGGTCTGAGAATTTCAGCCGAAAGAAAAAGGTCAAAATGAAGGTTTTGCAGAGAGTGAAACATTCCATTTGGGGCCTAAGGACCTGGGCTGGGCGCCTGCTTGGGGTCTGGAGGGAAAGGAGCCAGAGGCCCACCTCCCTCCAAACAGCCCTGGCCTCGGGTCCCTCTACCTCCTGAGCACCCCTCCCAATTGTGTTCTACCAGGCTGACCTTCTTTAAGTTTAAATTACATTTTATTTATTTGAAGGGAGGGAGACATGTGGGCGGCCCAGGGGTCAGCTCTCTTCTTCCATCATCTGATGGCAAGAGCCTCTACCCCTGAGCTATTTCAATGGCCTCCGGTGGGCTCTAGGTAAACCCAAAGCAGACCATCACACATTGCTTTCAAAGTCTTGTTTCCCCTGACCCAGCTTGGTCTCAAATTTGCAATCCTTGGCCCCTACCTCAGCCTTTCACATTCCGGGACACCTCTGCTCTCAGCTCCCCTGAGGCTCCACGTGCCCCCTGCCTGCAGTCCTGGCCTAGGATCCTGGAGGGAGGGCCTCAAGCCGGTGCTGCTGGCCGTGGGCGGGGCAGTGGTCTTACTATTCCTCTTTCCTCTCCACCCTTGGCAGAGCCATGAGCCACCAGATCCTGCTCCTCCTGGCCATGCTGACCCCGGGCCTGGCTATCTCTCAGCGTCGAGACCAGGTGCCGTGTAGGACGGTAAGACACAGTGCGGGCAGAGTAATTGTGCCGATCCCGCCCTTGGGGGGTGGGCCCCGGGAGCAAAGGTTAAAGGACCCAGAAAAGGATAGAGCTTTGCCTTGATATTTGTTGAGCATACACGCTAGACTGGTGAGGACCCTGTAGCCCATCTCCATGCTGAGCAGATGGAGGGTTTGGGGTGCTCTGTGCAAGGCCCAAGACTGTCTTACCTGGCCGACCAAGAGCTCTTAGGGGACAGAGACCAAGCTTAATTTACTGCTGTTCTTTTCCTGTTCCAAGCCAGGCAGATCCTACAGACATTGCTGCCCTGTGAGGTACAGGCAGAAGACCCTCTATGTCAGTGGTTCTCAACCTGTGGGTCGTGACCCCCACAGGGGTTGCATGTCCGCTATTTACAGTATAATTCATAACAGTAAAGAGAGTACAGTCATGAAGTAGCAATGAAAATAACTTTATGGTGGTGATGGGGGGGGTGATGGTGTCACCACAACATGAGGAGTGTGTCAAAGGGTCACGGCATTAGGAAGGTTGAGGGCCACTGATCTAGTACACTTGAGAAGCAGGACAAGCCTGCCACCAGCTGTACTTGGGCACAAAATGGATAAGTGCTTAAAGAGGCCAGAAATACCAGCAGCCCTTTCCTGGTGTCTGTGTGCTACAATTCTTCCCTGGAGGCCCCCCGAGAATAATGGGAGGGAAGGCCTCAGACATCACCATATGCCCACCTGAGACCCTATAATGGTGAAGGGCTTTGACCGCTGCAGATGTAAGCCATGAGGCAGGGACCCTCTGAGAAGCATGAGATGATAGACAGGAAAAGACTTTCTGAGCCGTCCAAGAAAGTTCTACACACAGCAGCAGAGGAGACATGCCACCACGCGGGCCCCGACGGTAGACGTGACAGAGTCAGAATTCAAACCCAGCTCCCCTGCGCTATCCGTGCTACCGTGTCTCCTCACACAGGTTCCTCCTGTGTGTGGATGGGAAGTAGAGTTGGGTGGCATGCCCTCTCCCCCTCCTCACTCATGCAGAAAGCAGAGCCGTGGCCGACACAGCAGAGTGAAGAGGGATGCTATACCCCAGCCAAGGCCCATCAGACTCCTGGCAGGCAGGCAGAGCTCGCAGTTAAGGAGGAGGGTTCTGAGATGGACTTCAGGGAACCTCCTTCTGAAGTCTGGGCTAGATCCGAGTGGAGGGTACCAGGTTCTCCCCTGGACCTCTGCAGTAAGTGACAGACTACACCAACTCCTTCCATGGTTCCTCTGGAGCTGCTGTCCTGAGGAGCCTTTGCTCATCCAGATGAGAGGGATCATGGGTGTGGCATGTGCATATCAAATGAAGGGTAAAAGTGTCAGGTGGTGTTGGTCCAGCCAACCTGGGTACCTCAGAGGCTGAAGGCTCAGCTTACACAAAAGGAAATTCATATTGGCATTGGGTTCATTTTGCTACTGCTTACAGCAGGGTGGTCTGGGAGCTAAGCAGCAAGTAGGCGTCTAGTTCCTGTGGGTGACAGAGAGGAGAGAGGGGTGTTGTTGGGCCTCCTAGAGCCCCAGTTGGCAGCTTTTTTTTAAGTATTTTATGCAGTAGGCATTCACAGAGGTGCCCGTGGCCAGACAGTGCCCTGGCTCACCCCTGTTCACCTTGAGGTCCTCAGGAGGAGCCTCAGAGGTCCCGCATCTCCTCCTTGCTATCTTAGCCACTGGATCCCTGTGACCCAGGCAAGTCTCTGCCGAGGCAGGCCTCCACAGCATCTGGACAGCAGGTGGGCTAGCTCATTCTGATCCAGTGTCCCTTTCTGGCTTTAATCTGAATATCTGGATTAGCTCTTTTCTTTCCGGCATTGATTGGATCAAGGCCTCAGCCCTTTACTTAAGCACAGATGTCTGCAACTCGTTCATAAAAGACATTTCCAGAGCATTTTCTGTGAGCCAGGTCCAAGGCATCCATGTCAATCAAAGGAGTCCCTCTCTGCTCCTAGCCCACTGTCTGCAGGCCTCCACTCAGATTTGTTCAGGGGCACAAAGTCATAGGGAGAAATCACAGTTAGGGAGGGCCGTGGTGGAAGAGATGTTGGGGTTCTCTGTGGGGACTTCACATACGGATGTGCTCCACACGTGTCCAGAGATGGGCATGGAAGAAAGCAGAAGCAGTGGCTAGGCATGATCACTGCATGTCAATGGGATTGGGGTGAGTGGGCAGGTTGGTGACACAGATGGTCTTGATGGACTCTGCTGTGTGTGAAGGCCAAGGGCACCCTAGGCAAGGTGGGGTGTGAGTGGGTGGGTAGCTCAGTGGGAGTCACTGGAGATAGGCTGGGGGCAGGGGCAAAATTAAGGTGGCTGGTGTAGAAGTCACAGTGTTTGCTAGGGAGGGCTGGGGTCCCTGGGGTGAGAATCTGGGAACAACCAGCCGGAGATGCACATTTGCATAGAACTGTGGTCCTTAAAGGCACATTCTGTGGAAGGACAAGAGTTGCTAAAAGCCCTGTGTTCAAATCCCAGCTCCTTCCATACCAACTGGGTGACCCTGAAATCTCCCCTACCCTCCGCAACCTGTACTTTGGTAAGAATATATATACTCCTCAGATCGCCCCTATATACCGGGTGGGCTGTTGTGAGGCTCTGACGAGGTCACCAGTCTGAAAGTGCTGGTGTGTAAAGTAGTTAATTTTGGGGTAAGGCACTGGAGAGTCGATGTCAGTGTGTCCTGCTAGTGGTCACTCAGTTGAACTGCTGGGTCCTGGCATCCCTTCCGCCTGCTCTGTCTCTGCACTCCTCCTACCTGAAGGGCCCTGTGCTGGACCAGGCCCCCACAAGTGGGGCCACTGATACAGGCCAGATAGCGGCTGCTGAAAGGATTATGTCCAGAGCCCACCCCAAGTCACAGGATGGGATCAGACACTGCCAGGAGCACCAAATCAAAGGGGCCGGCAGGAGAGCCTATGGGGTTTCCCCATTGCCATCAGCCTTTCCTGATGAGGCTTCCAGCCTATGTGGAAGGAGCCAGATGTGGAATTAGAGGCTATGGGCCCATCTTGGTCGTGTTGATTCTTGCTTCCCGATCACTCTGAGCAAAGCATGGCTTAGCTTCCCATTTAACAAGACAATAGTCAGCACTGATTGATTATTCTGAGATCTGTCTGCTGTTTCACTGTCTACTGCTCCCCTCTGCCCTGCAACCCCAGACTGCGGAGGCAGGGCTGGCAGCATGGGGTCATCAGCTGGGTGGAGGCTAGGCTAACGTCCTGGGGGTCTGTGGGGAAGCCCCCTAAGCTTGGGTGAGGAGGGCTAGTCATCTTTTCTAGAGAACCCTGTCCTGTCCCTATTAACGCCAGCTTCTCTGCCATCTTGCTATCCCTAGGTGAACAAGAAGGCCTTGTGCCAGGGCCTTGGCCTGCGTCAGGTCCCCTCGGTGCTCTCATTGGACATCCAAGCTCTCTACTTGTCTGGGAACCAGTTACAGAGTGTCCCAGCCTCCCCCTTGGGCTTCTATACGGCTCTTCGTCACCTGGATTTAAGTGACAACGAGATTAGCTTCCTCCAGCCCGGGGTCTTCCAGGCCCTGCCTCGCCTGGAGCACCTCAACCTGGCCTACAACCGGCTTGCCATGGGCACGGCACTGAACAGCGGTGGTCTAGGTCGCCTGCCCCTTGTGGCCTCCCTGGACCTGTCTGGGAACAGCCTGTATGGCAGCCTGGTGGAGCGGCTGCTGGGTGAAGCCCCCAGCCTGCGCACCCTCTCGCTGGCGGAGAACAGCCTCACTCGCCTGGCACGCCACACGTTCTGGGGCATGCCGGCACTGGAGCAGCTGGACCTCCACAGCAATGTCCTGATGGACATCGAGGATGGCGCCTTCGAGGCCCTACCCCGCCTGGCCCACCTCAATCTCTCCAGGAACTCTCTCACCTGCATCTCGGACTTCAGCCTCCAGCAGCTGCGGGTACTTGACCTGAGCTGCAACAGCATTGAGGCCTTCCAGACGGCCCCGGAACCCCAGGCCCAGTTCCAGCTGGCGTGGCTTGACCTACGGGAAAACAAGCTGCTCCAGTTCCCTGACCTGGCCGCATTCCCAAAACTCGCCTACCTGAATGTCTCCAACAACCTCATCCAGCTCCCTGCGGGGCTGCCCCAGGACACTGAGGACCTCCATGAGCCCTCGGAGAGCTGGTCAGCCTCCTCACTGTCCAACCCCAGCCGGAACGCCAGCACTCATCCCCTCTCCCAGCTTCTGAACTTGGATTTGAGTTACAATGAGATTGAGCTGGTCCCTGCCAGCTTTCTTGAGCATCTGACCTCCCTGCGTTTCCTCAACCTCAGCCGAAACTGCCTGCGGTCCTTTGAGGCCCGGCGTGTGGGCTCCCTGCCCGGCCTGATGCTTTTGGACTTGAGCTACAATGTGTTGGAAGCGTTGAAACTGGGCAGCAAAGTCCTGGGGTCCCTACACACATTGCTTCTGCAGGAAAATGCCCTCCAAGAACTGCCACCCTACACCTTTGCCAGCCTGGCCAGCCTGCAGAGGCTCAACCTACGGGGAAACCAGCTGAGTCCCTGTGGGGGACACGCAGAGCCAGGTCCCCGGGGCTGTGTGGACTTCTCTGGGATTCCCACCCTTCACGTTCTGAACATGGCAGGGAACTCCATGGAGATGCTCCGGGCAGGCAGCTTCCTCCACACCCCGCTTACTGAGCTGGACCTCTCTGGCAACCCTGGTCTGGATGTGGCCACGGGAGCCCTGGTGGGCCTGGAGGCATCCTTGGAGGTACTGGAGCTTCAAGGCAACGGGCTGGTTGTCTTGAAGGTAGATTTGCCCTGCTTCCGCCATCTCAAGCGCCTTAACCTCGCCGAGAACCGCCTGAGCCACCTGCCTGCTTGGACACACGCCGTGTCCCTGGAGGTGCTGGATCTGCGGAACAACAGCTTCCGCCTCCTGCCCGGCGATGCCATGGGCGGTTTGGAGACCAGCCTCCGGCGCCTGTACCTGCAGGGAAACCCACTCAGCTGCTGCGGCAATGGCTGGCTAGCAGCCCAGTTGCACCAGGGCCGAGTGGACGTGGACAGTACTCGGGACCTAAGCTGCCACCTCAGCTCCCAGGAGGAGCTGTCCCTGAGCCTCGTGCGGCCAGAGGACTGTGAGAAGGGAGGGCTCGAGAATGTCAACCTCATCATCATCCTCACCTTCACACTGGCCTCTGCCGTCATCCTCACCACACTAGCCACCTGCTGCTTCCTTCGTAGGCAGAAGTTCGGCCAGCAATACAAAGCCTGACAGGGTGGGGGAGCCTCTTCCCACTCCGAGTGGAAGCCAAGGGGGCAGAGAAGTTGGGGTCCCAACTCAGGTTACACAGTGACCAGGGCCCCCTGCATCCTACCCCACAGACAGGAAGCTGCTTTCTGGGCTGCAGATGTGGTCCAGCTGTGGAGCCCAAAGTGGGGCAGTTCTGAACAGAGGCCACCAACAGATCTCTGAGCATCTGTGTCAGGCACATCCTCCTCCAGGTCTTAGTAAATGAAACACGTGCCTATCCTATTCTCTAGCAGGGGAGGCTGTCACAGAACCACACAGTGGGGAGGCAGGAGACACCCCCCCCCCAGACCCTGCATCCCCAGCTGGTCAGGGAGAACCCATCCTGGCTGGCTGTGTTTAGGCAAGGGAGAGCCACACTCATGAGAGGATTTGTCTGAGCCATTTCCACCCAGAGCTCTGTTGCATCTGCTGATAATGACTTCCGGCCTCTTTGGAAATGAAAAGCATGTGACCTGAAAAGAGAGCCAGAACCTTCGCAGAGGTTTTGAATCTAGGCTCCTGGGGCTGCAGGATCCCGGGGCTGCAGCTGCTCCCGCTTGAAGTGTGTACACTTAGGCTTCCCCCCCGGGCGCAGGCCGCTCCGTGTCCTGCCACGGACGGGCCCTTTCCCTCGGTGCCCTTCCTTCTGCACACTGACCCCAGTGCTGCCTGGATTCCCAGCCCCCTGCTCAGGCCTCCTTCCATCCCAGCCCCACCCTGACTTTTGAGCCAAGAGGGAGAACCTCTGCTATCTGGTTCTGGTTTGCACTCAGCTCAGCAGCTGCAGAAGCAAGTCCAAGCCAACTCTCAGAGGTTTCTATGTTATCTGGGTTCCTTACTTCCCCTCTGAGAGCCCCACAGTGGAGAGAGATGCCAAAACCAAAAATGAATCAGACCCATGTCCTCCCACCTCCCTCCTCTCAGACAGGCGCCCACAGAACTTCTACTCTGCTGCTGCCCTTCATTTATTTACAGACTCGGAGGAATTTTCCCTTTCTCTTCTTGCTTCCACAGTCTCATTCCTGGAGTTTGAGACCATTGAGTGAAATCTCCCCGTTGAGCAGATAGGAAAACTGAGGGTTAGGGCCTTGTTCAGAATCACAGAAGCCAATGGCAGAAGCTGGGGGGGGGGGAACAGCTGGCCTGTTGCACAGTGGTAGGGTGTTTGCCTTGCGTGCTCAAGGCTCTGAGCTGGATGCCTAGCATCTTCCCCTGTGTGTTTTCCTACTCCCAGAAGTCACAGCACGAGGCAAGGCCAGCTACAGTGCCTATCCTCACCAAGAATGGAAATAAGGAAAGACTCTCAGACTCCCCACTCATTCTCCAGACCCGTGGGCTGCTGGGAGGAAAGAGAGCACTGAGCCTAGTCACAGAGCCTGCTTGCCAGCTCTCCTATGCTCAGCCCATCTGCCTGGGCACTTGGTAGTATAGAAGATGAAAACACCACTCTCTCTGCCCCATTTCACAGGCAATGAAACTGAGGCCCAGAGACAGTTAAAGGCTCAGAGAATCAATGGCAAATCCAGGGCTGCAGCCCTCTCTGGGGCAGCTTGTGGGGACTCGGTGCTACTGCACACAGCACTCTCTCTCGGCCTGGAGGCCGAGTCATGGCCCCTGTGCCTGAGCTCTGAAACACTATATCATGCTGCTGCCACCTCCCAGGACTGGCCACCACCAGCCCCTGGGGCCAGCCCTTTGTATAACTCACATGAATGTATTAAAGTATAATTTTGGAGAAAGTGTGGCCTGCTCGCTTCCAGAACCCCACACCATTGCCCTTGCCTCCTGACCCTTTCTTCTCCCATCAGGGGTTTTCACTCCTCATGAGACAACACTAACTGCTGGCCAGCCCCACCCTGGGCTTTGGGCCTCAGCCTCCATCACAGCCTCGTCATACCCTAAGCCACCTGTGCCCCACCCTAATTCTGAGAAACTGGGGACTGTTTCTTCCTATCTGTTGGCATCTACATTTCCCTGCCTTTCTCTGTACTCACTCTCTCACATCTTAAAGCCAGTGACAGACTTTTGTACATTCTCCCACCTCTCCTTCCCTTGCTGTCCACAGCAGATTCTCTCTACCCTAACTGAGGTCTCCTAAGGCTTCCTTACAAGATCCGCATACTTTTAGGCCTCTCATCTCTGAACCTGGATACCATGACCCCTCACCTCACCCTCAGCCTCCTTAAACTCCATGCACGAAGCTGTCTCCTCTCTCTCAAGCTACTTGTTTCCCAGCCCCTCCTCATTCTCCAGCCATCTCCAACTGATGTTTCTTCTGTCCCTCCCAAATGCCCCTATGGAGATATCCAAAGGCATCGCCAGCCAGAGAGCCAGGGGATGAGGAGAACCCTAGGGGAATCCAGGAGAACTGAGTTTGCAGGCAGTCAAGCTGCAGATTTAGACTGAACTTGAGAGAGAGAGAGAGAGAGAGAGAGAGTATCTTTCCCACTGTGCATGAAGAGGGATTCCAGGTGCTTGCTGGGCATGACCTTATAAGAAGAGGGAAAGATTAGTCTTGCTGTGACGATGAGACCTCCTCTGATGTGGGCAAAGTTTGGGGGACACAGGACTACACGTGCCAGCACATGCAGGCCCAGGGCAGGGAAGGAGGAGTACTCCTGCTCACCTCAGGACAAGATTTTAGGGGTTTGGACACACCTCGACCTCACTCCTGCTCAGGGCTGGCTCCTCTGGGTTCCATGGTACCTGGCCCCACAAGAGAGAGGGGGTTGAGGGAGGGAGAGGAGCTGCTCGTCAGGGGCAGACATGGGGCGGCTCAGGAGGGACTGAGTGAGACGCAGAAGTGATACCCACCTTTCTACTCGACTTGCAGCCCTTGGAGCTGGTCCCTTGCAGCCCAGCTTGGTACAACCCCTAGGCACTCGCCCTCTGTAGGCACCAGCCAGCTTCCACTCCAGCCTGCCTCTTTTCTAGCCCAGCCTTTCTCTGACCTCCAAGCACCTGGATACAGCTCCACAACTGAAGCCATCACTGTGCCCTCCCTCGATGGACAGCCTTTCCTTCTCCTAAACATTCTTTCAAATAGCTTCTCTGCCTTCAACCTCACCCCAGCTCCTCTCTGCTCCCTGCTCTCTTTCTCCAGAGGGGAAACTGAACTTCCTGTTTCATGGGCCAGTGCTGGGGATGTGAAGGTTCACAGTAGGGGCTCAGTGAAGGAAAGTTGGACCAGGCCATGGCATGGGCTGGGCTCAGCTCAAAGCCTGTGGGCCTCTCATCCTACAGGACCCCACCAGGCCCCTGACCTCCTTTCCTGACAAACAGCAGCGCCTGTTCACCTGGCCAAGACCCCCCAGTGAGGCAGAAAATCCTGTTTTCAGTGCAATATGGACACGGCTGCCAACTAGGTCATCAGAACATCCAGTTTACTGAGTTTTCAGCCAGTTATAGGGAGAGGGAGGCCCTCATGTGCCTGTCACAGGCCACCCGGGGTGTCATCCTCAACTCATCCAGTTCAGTAGGCACCTGTGGTGCCCCAATACTCCAGGGGCCCTGTGCACCCTCTCCCCATCCCTGCTTCAGCTGCCTCCTCATCCAGGAGCCTGGGTCAGTGCACACTGCAAACAGCCCTGTCCTCCAGGCAGCCCGCAGGACCCCGAGAGGTAGGTCCCTCCAGCCCCTCTCTGCTGTCACCTACCATTTATTGTCCATTACTAAGCATGTCCAGCTAAGCCCATGCTGATGGGCCTTATTCCTACGGTGTTCGAAGAGATTTCTGTTGTATCTTGACATTCTAGAGCTGAGACCTAAACCCAGGCTCAACCCACTCTAAAGGCAGTGATTTCTTTTTCATATATATATATATATTTTTTTTTCCTGTTTTTTGGTTTGGTTTTCTTGTTTTATTTGCATCCATGCACATGTGCGTGGAGGTCAGAGTTCAACTTATGGGAAGCACTTCTCTCTTTCTACCACTGTGGATATCAAGGCTCAAACTCAGATGGTCAAGCTTGGCCGCAAATGCTTTTTACCTGCTGAGCCATCTCACCTGCTTCTTGTTCTGTTTTTGGACTCAGGTATCCTGTAGTTCATGTTGCCCCTGAACTTACTATGTAGCTGGCAATGACCTTGAACTCATCATCCTGTCTCCTCCTCCTACGTACCGGGATGACAGCAGTGTACCACCACGAGCAGCAATGAGCTGGTGATCTTAACTTCCGGCAGCCCCAGCATCTGACCCTCACAACCTCAGGCTTTCCCATCCTCCACAGGAACGTCCCACCCACCCCAGCTCATCCACAAACTTCTGCTACTGTTGACTGAATGGACCACCTCTTCTAAGGAGATGGCCTGGATTGCTTCCTCCTGCTGCCAGTACCCCATGAAAACCTCACCCCCTAGCACTGAGTATCTGCCTGGTCCACCATCAGACTAAGAGCCCTGGGGAAAAAATTCCTACCCAGAGTCCTCTGTGTGTCCCCAGGGACTGTGAGCTCAGAAAAGATTTCCCAAAGTAATAGACCCTTCCCTCCAGGACTTATGAACTGTTGGGCTTAAGACCAGCCTTCAAACAGATCCAGAGGATCCAGAGAGGGCAGAGGGCAGAAGGACATGGACATTCAGGGGCAGCAACAGCATATAAGCGTGATCTCTTCCTAGCCTCCGCTGCCCTTGGTCTCCCCGTGCCTTGAGGACTCTGTCTTATCTTTGTCCTCTCATTCTCTGCCCTCCCCATCTTCTCATCCTGTCTCCCCACCCCACCACTGCCTCTATCTCCCTAGAAACAGTTGTGCTGAGAACAGGAGGGCTAGAGGGAAGGAGGGAGGCCCGAGCTGTTTATAGGAACTGGAGTGGCTGCTCCACCAGCTCTGTTTGGAGTTCAGACCAAGCATAATAAACAGCTTGGCTCCTCCCCAGCTGTGCTTTCCCTGAACTTGGCCATCCCAACTTCAAGCCTCTCTAGGTTCTCAGGACCCAGCTCCTACCCAACTCCACATGACTCCCATCTCCAACTTCCCATCAGGCTGGCCTGGAGAGAACTCCATCTGTGAAACTGAACTCAGATCTGGGGTCACTCTTGCTCTTGGGACCACGTTTGTTCTGGAAGTAAGGGCAAATCTTACTGCTGTGTCTCCGACCTCTCCATCTATATAATGGGCTCACTCCCAAGCCTGCTTATTTGCAACACCTGAGTGCTTGAACACACTCAAGGTTCTGGGTGCTGTGTCTGCGGGGGGCATGGGGACAGTTAGATAAAGCCTGAGGTATGAGAGGAGAGGAGATGCCAGCTGTAGCACAAGCCAGGAAGCTGTCAGTGGCAAGGGAGGTTTCGTGCTCTGAGAGTGTTTGCCGCTAGGCACAGGCCTCACAGCTGGAGGAATGAGATGGGCTTGGAAGACATCTGAGCTGCCTACAGGGACAGCAGGATGTCAGCATGGAGCAGAGAGGAGAGCCAAACTCCAGCCCCATCTGGCTGCAGGAGAGCCAAAGCACCCTGGGGCTTCCTCCTTGAGCTCTCAGCTCCTTCAGTATCACCCACCATTCCGGAACCGTCTCTCCTCCGCAGGAGAGCACCCAAGTTGCCCACTCTACCTTTCCAAGAAGTGGAGGCCTTCCCGGACTCTGTCATGGGTCCACCCTCCTCCACCTAAAGCACCCTACGAACTAGAAGACTCAAAAACTTACTGGCCAGCAGCAGCACGTGCTTTTGGAATGAATGAGAGAATAAGTGAAAGACTAAATAAAGGTGTGAACCAAAGAAAAGAAGACCAAATAAGTGACCAAATCACTGAAAACAGCCGGCATGCCATGAAGATTCCCTGGGCTCTTCTCATTAAGGAAATAAACAGTCTCTCTCATAGACACATTAACAACAATGGCAGTGTGTGATGGGCTGTGACAGGAGACTCAGAAGACAGCTGTGACAGGGTGGGACCCAGGGCAATCCTCTCTGACGACCTGATCATGACTGAGGTAGAGGTGGATATAAACTGAGAGACTGACACCCCCACATTCATCTAAGCAGCTCCAGAGAGCAGAGACTGAGCTGTGGACCCTGAGGCCCTGAGGCTCTGCACTGAAGGCCCTCCCCGCCATGCCCCAGAGTTCTTTGATTCCATTCCTGGCATCAGGAAGAAACCCAGCTGTAATGGAGTAGGGCAGGGGTGTGTTCTGGGATTCAAGCATTGTGCAGGCAGGAGTGAAAAGACCCAATTCCAAAGCAATATTTTCCTAAGTATTACTATTCTTACGATTTTTTCCATAGAATGGGTTTGGCTTCCGGCCTCCTCACATCCCTGTCAGCCTGTCCCACCAGCTTCCCCAACCATATTCCATTCTTCTCTCAAGCCCTTTGTTTGCTTACCCCATGACTGAGTCATTGTTGACAAAAAATAAACAGTGTGCAAATACAAATGTGTATATATTCTAGATTTGTTATCATTACTTTATTAAAAAGAGGATTGTAATCTGAATAGTCTCCTGTACCTTAAAAAAAAATTAACCATATTTTGAAGAAATCCTCTCAAATAAACTGATGTTGCTCCATTCAGTTTCTGAAGTTCATGATATTTGGAGCACATGATAGTCCAGTGTTCCTTTTCTTAATTTACTTAGCCAGCGCCTCGGATCTCCTTCTCCATCTCCCCCTTCTCAAGGCCCCAGTCTCCCTGGTCAGCAGGAACAGGAACCAGAGTCCACCTTCTAGGCCAAAGGTTGAATGCTGATGATCTTTGGATCATACTCAGCCTTCAGCCATGCTTGGTTTGGCCCACACAAGCA